AGACATACCATCCCTGGAAGCCATTATTAGATGTACAAAGTCATTATATTTTTTGTTGCAGAAGTACTATGAAGATTCTATGTTCAATAAAGCCTAGAGATAAGGCCTGTGTTTCTATCACAACACCGGGATAGCAACCTCACATCTGCCGAGCTACCTCGGTGGACAAAAGAGAGGGCGGCCAGATATCCGCCACAAAGCATACCTCCTTCAGCCACACCCCGGAATCCGAAAGGTGGCTTCCAGAGATACACCCGTCGCCCAAAAGACACCCAAAGCTACTCCGGGATACCGGAGAGGGATCGGGACATCCCCAGGCAATCCAGATTCCACGGCAAACTACGCCACCGCCAAGAACCTCAACGGAATGGGATGGACCCCGGTGTCCTTTCCCCAACCTAGGAACTAGCGCGCCTGTGGGAGAAATCCCAAAGGCCAAAAAGAGGAAGGGCAAAAGGGAGGGGTGAGGAGGAAGAGGAAGAGGAATGGAAAAAGGGGAGGATGGGTAGGATGGGATAGGGGAGGGGAGAATGGGGGTAATTAGGCTCGGTCTGAGGAAGAAGACCGACAGGACTAATTCCTGAGACCAAGAGCCTCTTCACCACGCCAAGGAGCCCCCCTTGAAGAGGTTATGTTGGTATAGGGACTTGGACCTAACGTTCTAGTGAATGTGGGGCTGGCGGTGATTCCCTCCACTGTTTGGGTCATGTTTCTAGATCCGAGGTGTTTTGGTTCTCCAGGACTTAAATTTTTCCTTTTTGGATCACCGCTGGGGTGACTCCAGAGTCCTTGGAATGACATGTAGGTGTCTGCCTGGGAGGTCCACCTTTAGGGGGTCTTCAGTGATGACTCCAGGGTTTTACAGCCACAGTCCCACCAACAAGATTTGTGACTATCCACCTGTTGTTTTTGGGGCCTGATATTCCCTCCCCCCTCCTGTGCTCTCCTGATTCTCGCAGAGGTGTGTCATGGGGTACCAGTTTCGTTTATTAAAAATTGCTGCGAGATGGGAGTGATAATGTGATGTTTCTTTAAGTAGAATTTAACATGTAAAATTTGTTTTCCTTTTCTTTGAACTCCTGGAAAATGTTACTGTTTAAGTTTTTTTTTTTTTGATGGCACAAAGTTTGGTCTGCCTTGCAACATACTGAACTTTGGTGTTACTTCATAAAACGGTATTCCTCAGGGGCACTTTTGTACAAAGTTAACTTGCTCATTTATAAGTTTGCTTGATGTAATTTAGGTAAAATGCATCAACACCGGTGCCTGGCCAGTGCTGTGTTGTGATGGTGCCTTTTCCTAACAGTTGTCAAGAGTGTGACTGTGGGCTCGTTTGACATAGAACTATCACTTTCATGTTCGGCGAGTTTCACATGTCTGCCATCTAGTACCTCAGTTTGTTAATATTTCATATTTGTAGTATCAAAAGACAGCGACTGTATGGTGGTCATTCCCCAGTTATCATTTTGCCCGTTGCCTCAGACCTTAATGTGGGGTTTCTTTTTCGTTTTGCCTAGCGGTGTCCGTAGGGACCCCACTAGCAGAGTGGGGCCTATGGTCTGGGGGTGGGGGTGTTATGCAGGGTTCTGCATGACATTGTAATGAACATATAGTGGAGAAGTGTGCCATAATAGTATGTTATAATTGTAAAGAATAATTTTATAATTCATTATGCGCTTTAGGGCATACTGTAAAGTAGGTTAAACTATAATCATAAAGAAATCCTGCTTGGGATTTATTTTCCAACTGTTTGGGTACGCTGGGTAAGCATGGCTTGGGGCAGTCACGTGGAGTCAGCATGGTGTGGAGGTTGGCATCGGAGATGCTGTGTGTTTAAGCTAAGTTTGTAGTTGTGTACTCCTTTGGTTTAACCAACTCAAGCCATAGGCTCTTCTATGGCTTACCTGTATGTTCACCTAGGCTCTGACATGGTCAGGGTGCTGTGGGATGAGTGAGGAAATAAGAAATGGGGTTTGTAGTGGAGTAGTGACTGCCTGGCACTGACTAGGCCTAGTGAAAAATGGTGGCTGGACCTCCAGCCAGCTGTTTCTCGTGTACCCTCATTTGGGCGTTTAGGATTAAGGGGTTTCTAGAGTGTGTATATAGTGTTGTTAAATAGATATATTTTCCTAATTGGGATTTTTGCCTAACCCTCTGTTAACCAACCCATTGAAGTAACACATACTGGTTTAGCGCTTTCTGTTTTGACTGGGATAGCCCCGGGTGGACTGTTTATGCTTGAGATGTGTTTAACTTTTACCTCTGCCCTTAGACAAGGTTCAAGCCCCCAGCTATCCCACATTTCTGTGTAACATCACACTACACATACACGTACAAGCATATATGTATTTACACCCCTCTGGGTTTTCTTCCATTTTTCTTACTAGTTCTTGTTCTTTATTCCCTCTTACCTCCATGGGGAAGTGGAACAGAATTCTTCCTCCGTGAGCCATGCGTGTTGTAAGAGGAGACTAAAATGCCAGGAGCAAGGGGCTAGTAACCTCTCCTGTATATATTGCTAAATGTTAAAGGAGAAACTTTCGTTTTTCCTTTTGGGCCACCCCACCTCGGTGGAATACAGCCAGTGTTGAAAGAAAAAGAATTGGAGTTTATATTATTTCAGGTCACTTATGTTGTATCTTTTTATATGCTTCTAAACTGTTGTATCCAGGCACCTCTGCAAAAACAGTGATTATGAGCGAGGTGAAAGTGTTTGATGAAAGTATTTTCATTTTGGGGATTTTCTTTTTTTTGGGTCACCCTGCCTAGGTGGGAGACTGCCGACTTGTTGAAAAAAAAATTGGAGAAACTCACTGAAAAACTTAAGTGATTAACAAATGATACTCAGTTTTCTCCGAGTACTGCACAAAACTAACGTTTAGGATGGATGGGGATACTTTGATTTAAAGAGTCATTTGAATTGCTTTGTCTACACACTGACAAGACAGCTATTGAGTGAGGGTCAATGTTTCTTATTTGGATTACTCTGCCTTGGTGGAAAATGGTCAGTAAGTAAAAAAAAAAAAAAAAGCCCAAGATACCAGGAAGCCTTTCTTCAAAATAAGACTGGTAAATACTGCAAGTGGAATGACCTAAGCAATGACAATAGAAGCAACTCTGCACAGTTCATCAGCAGATGTGACAGCTTAATCACATCATTTGAACAGATAAGAGGCAGAACCAAGAGCTTGAATTCATCCTCCCCTCCCTAGCAAGCTTCAATGGGTGAAAAAAAAAACACATTAATTAAAGAACTCTTATCTTCACAAGATTCAAAAGTTTTGCTATTTGTTGTGGAGAGTTTAAGAGCGAAAACGTAATGTGAGCGAGATGACCGCTCATTCATTTTGGTTTCTGCCACAGTTCTTCGTTTTTGGGCTTCATGAAGCAGATGAAAAACACTAACTTCATCTGCCACTTCTACCTGAAAAATAACGATAAAATTTAATAAACCGAAGATGATTCGTAATAAACTAGTGTCATTGAAGAGAATGGACAAGTTGAACTGTGATCAATGTATGCAGCAGATTCAATATTGTTACCACTGCCACAGACCTTAAAATTATCCTAGTCTAAGCTCTGTAGGTGAAAAGTAACAGCACTGGGCATGCTACACGAATGAACCATGATTCCTACCCTTCATGTTCTAATTATTCACGTCTCGCGCTTCTACAATACAGATTATTATTATAATCAAAAAAGAGCGCTAAGCCACAAGGGCTATACAGCGCTGCAGGGTAGGAAGGAAGCGAGGGCATCGGGTGACAAAAGGGAGGTGGAAGAGTAATAGGTATGGATAACAGCGGGCAGTGGATGGCGAAAGGGTAAAGGGCAGCAAGAGTGAGCTAGAAAGGGCTAAGGGGAGTGCGTAAGGTATCAGAGTTTGTGGGGGTAAATCAGTCGTTGTAAAGAAATCAATGAGAGTCAGGATTAAAGGAGGGTCCATCAGCAAGAAGGAAGGTAAAGAGATGCAGAATGAAGACCGTTAGAGGCAAATTCTGGTGCTCGTTGATAGAGAGGGCAGTCTAACAGAATGTGACAAATCGATACAGGAATTGACACTGCTCACAGAGTAACAGTGGTGCCCCTCCATGAGATACCCGTGAGCAAGACTAGTGTGGCCAATGCGAAGACGGGAGAGAGTGGTCTCCCAACCACGGCACTGATGACAAGACTGCCAGTAACCTATGCTCGGTTTAATAGAATGAAGTTTGTAACCAAGCAGAGTTGACCAACGTTGCTGCCAACGGGCGTGAAGGCGAGTAGCTATTGCAGCAAAATAGTCCAGAAATGGAACACCTCGATAGGAAATTGGTAGGTCATGTACTGCTGACCGCGCAGCAGTGTGCCTGTTCATTGCCCTGTACGTAGACATGACCAGGGACCAAACAAAAAATAATATCTTTTTGCTTCAGAGAGATACGGCGTAGCCAAAGTTGGATACGGAGAACTAGGGGGGGGGAGGGGAGAGATGCATCAAATTTTCGTATAGCCTGTAGAACACAGGCAAAGATGCGATACGAATAAGTGCTGCAAGAATGGCATACAATTTAGCAGCAAAATGCTAGCCGAAGACAGTAAATGCCCCCGCACGACGCTGTCCGGAAACACTGCTGCAAATCCGACACCGTCTGAAGACTTAGAGCCATCTGTGTACACAGCGATGGCATGAGAATGGGAGTGGAAATGATCAAGAAAAAGAGCGGGAAGCCACCGTAGGCAGTTGAGCTTTCGAGCATGGGAGTGAGAAAGAACAGACCCGAACAGCTGAAACTTCCCAGGGAGGTAGGGAAAAAGTGAGATGCTACACGAACACAAATGTGGTAACTGAAGGGAAGACAAGAGAATGTAGGCAAAGAAAAGGTACGGAGCAAACAGGGGCGGCGAACGAATAAAGAATGTCTACTAATATCTGACCATTCTATAAATGGAAGGATTGTGTAGATCGTGAGAGCGTACATAGTAGCGAAGGCAATGGGCATCACGGCGATCAGACAAGGATGGAACATCGCTTCTGCATAGAGGCTCTCAACAGGGGAAGAACGAAAAGCACCAAGGCACAAACGTAATCCTTGGTGATGGATAGGGTTAAGGCTAGAGAGTAGCAGGAGAGGCCGCTGAATAAATCTGGTCACCATAATCGAGTTTCGATAAAACAAGGGCTGAATGTAGGCGAAGCAGAGTTCAATGATCAGTTCCCCAGGAAAGATGAGCAAGGTTTTAAGAAGGTTTTTTGCGGCTGTGACAAGTTGCCTTCAGAGAGGTAATGTGAGGTTTCCAGGATAACCGACAGTCAAAGAGAAGGCCTAGAAACCTGACTATCACGTTTGGGGATACGGGAGCCATAGAGATATAAAGGATGATCGGAGATGACAGAGCGTCTAGTGAAAGTAATTTGGAGAGTTTTGGTACTTGAAAATTTAAACCCATGCGTGGTGGCCCAAGTGGAAACACGGTCGACCGCATGCTGGGGAGAAACTGCAATGAGATGATGTCAGCACCTGCACAAGCAATAGCGAAGTCATCAACATAGTGATGACCAAATATTGGTGGAAAAAACAGAGGTCAAATCATTTATAGCAAGGAGAAAGTGTTGTGCTTAGAACACACCCCTGAGGGACACCTTCAGCTTGGATGAAGTCCGGGGAAAGAACATTATTGACTAACAGAAATGTCTGCCAGTTAAAAAGTTTAGGATGGTAGATTGCCTCAGAGGCCTAAGGAGTGGGCTTGGGCCAAAATATTTACCCCCAAATTGTGTCATATGCCTTCTCAAGGTCAAAAAAATGGCAATAACCAAGTGATTATTCGCAAAGGCATTACGAACATACGTATCCAAGCATAGTAAGGGGTCTATGGTAGAACGGCCCTTACGAAAGCCATATTGACAGCAGAGACACTTGTGTAAATACCACATTAAACGTCGATTTACGAGACGTTCCATCACTTTGCAAACTGCACTAGTAAGAGCGATGGGACGATAGTGGGAGGCAAACATGTCCTGTAGTACCTGGTTTGCGGAAAGGGAGAACAATGGCAGATTTCCCCAGCTGGGGAAGAACTTGTGCCCAAATAAGGGCTGAAGAGGTGTAAGGGGACTACAAGGGCTGACCAATGTAAATGTTGTAACATACGAATATGAATAGTCAGGCCCAGCTGCCGATGATCGGCAAGCTGAGAGCGTTGCCTCCAGTTCTTGAAGTGTAAAAGGCACATTATACTGTTCTTCTCTGAGAAAAGTCCAAGGGTACCAACTCTGGCAGACTGAGGAAAGAAAACGAGGGGCAAAAGATGGAGCCCCCGGGAAATACGGACAGATGTGTGGGCCCAAATTCAGTTGGCAACGTCAAAAGGGTTTGCTACATCAACACCAGCGACCCGTAGAACAGGAGCCGGGTCAGAGAGTATTTACCACTCAATTTCCTCACTTTTTTCCAGACTGCACTCATAGAAGCAGAGGTGATGGTGGAAACAGTCTCGCCAGCAAGTGCGTTTACCTTCACGGATGACACTGCGAGCGATCACACGCTTCTGCTTGAAATCAAGAAGTCTCTCAGCGGTTCTATTGTACTGGTACCTGCCCCATGCAGCGCTTTTCAAACGTACTGCACAAGCACAAGCAGGAGACCACCAAGGCACGCAGTTCTGAGAATGCCTGCCCGAGGTTTGGGGTATAGAATGAGAAGCTGCAGTATAAACTGACGTCGAGAAGAGGTGTAGGAGCTCAATGGAAGATGAAGGAACCTCACTAAAAGCAGTGAGTTGCGAGTAAAGATCCCAATTTGCCCGATCAAATTGCCAGCGAGGGCTATGGAAAGGTGGTGAATAGGAAGAAGTAAGTGATTCGAAAATGATCGCTGTCAAGTAAGCCCAGTAGAACAGACCGGGTGAAGTCTAGTGCAGTGGAGGAAGAGCAGACTGATAGATCGATGCAAGAGAGTATGAGTAAGAGGATCAAAATGGGTGGGAGTACCTGTATTTAAAACATGGAGGGGGTGAGAAGCGAGAAAAGCCTCCAACTGGATGCCACGCGAGTCACAATGAGACCCCCCCCCAGAGGAAAGGGTGGGCGTTAAAAATCACCAAGTAACAGAAGTGGTGGTGGTAAGGATGAAACAAGAAAGGTAAAGTCTGGGATAGAAAATGCTCGAGAAGGACATGTATAAAGAATATATTGTAAACCACTTATTCAAGTGGATACAGGCAGCAGTGTAATGCAGCGAAGTATGGACAAATAGTTGACAGTACGGAATATCATTGCGTAGAAGGGCACTTTCATTAAAGGTCCCATCTGAGAAAGGATCCTAAGAATACAATAAATTATAGCCTGAGATAGGTTGGAAAACAGCAGTGTAATTTTGGTTCTTGTAAGCAAGCACCAACAGGGGAAAACCTGGAAAGCAATATCTGAAGCTCGCCCAGATTACCCGAGGCCACGGATATTCCATTTTAAATAGGCCATGATTGGCGATGAAGAAAATACCAGGAATCCATAGGGAAAGGCTCCAACGGACTAGAGGGGTTAGAAAAGTCAACGTGTGGTGGCATTGGAAGACGTTCAAGCAGCGAAGGGGGAGGGTGAGTAAAGATTGGGACAGTAATGGACTGTACCAAAGTAGAGGGGGAGGAAAGTGTAAGGGACTGAGATAAAAGCGTCAGGGGGGGGGGGACAGAAGAGGCAGAAACCTGGGAGGTGGCAGAAGAGGGAGAAACTTGGGAGGGGATGGAAGGCATAGTACGAGGGTGAATCTCCACACTTGTAATAGAGCCAGAGAGGGGGGGGGGGAAGAACTAGGCCCAGAGACTGGAAAGGTAAAGTGTGGAGGTGGAAGAAGGGAAGGAAGGGGCAAAGAAGATTGAGCAATGTGGATTTTTTGGACTTCTGAGAAGTAGAGGGGCGATTGGTATTAGGTGTCGTACGAGGTCTTGTCGATACTGGGGCTTGTGAGGAAGGACGCGAAGATGCGAGAACAGACCGAGTTGTAGTCGGGACGTCAGAGCCAAGGACAGCAAAAGGATTAGATGCCGGAGTGGCTATGGGAGGGGTAACAACAGAGGCTGCAGAAGATGGGACCCCAGAAGTGGGGGGGGGATGTTTTGAAACAAGAGAATAAGAAACCGGGGTAGTTTCCCTTGGAGGGGGAGATGAGTAAAATGCCATAGCATAAGGGAGACCTGCCTCTGAGGCAACTGATTTCATGTTCATTTAAGTAGACCTGGCAACGGCGGGAGTACGAAGGGCGAGCTCCATTACAATTAAGGCAAGATGGAGGTTGACTGCAAGATGTATTAGAATGGTGTCGGCACCACAGGGCTGGGCATTCGGCCATTTGATCTGCAATATTTCGCTGGTGACCAAAACGCCAAAAAAATTTCTACACTGTTGCGGTGTAGGTATCACCTTCCCAAAATTGTAAAACCGATGTCCCGCAACATATACAGAGGACGGGAGTTCTCGGCTGTCAAAAGTTAAACTAGCTGCATTGCAAGGGTAATGTCTCCGCCCACTGGCAGGAAGGACTTAAGTGTGTACTGTGAGGATTGGGAGATCCTGGAGTTCCAGCTGTTCAAGAATGTCATTGCCACATGACTGGAAATTCTGTTGGACTATGGTATGGGGCAGAATGACAGTACCACTACAAGAATTGAGCGAGATGTTTTTCAATAGTGATAGTAGTAGTATCTATATGCAAAAGGAGAGAAAGATCATGAGCTTTGGTAGCATTCTGGACAGTGGCTATGCATGTACCACTCTTGAGAGCATGAAATGAAACATCTCTGCTAACATGATGCAGGAGCGCTTTGCCAATACTATGGTCAGAAAGGTAGGCAGAAGTCAGTCTTAAAGTAAAGAATTTAGTCCATTGTGTGGTCCGAAACCGAGCGTGGAGATGGAGTGCATGATGTGTGTCTTTTCCAAGTAGAATGGGAAGGTAACTAAGGAGCATCATCAGGAGATTGACGTTTAGGAGTAGGACCGGAGTTGGTCCGGCGTGAAATGGGCGGGCGATTCAAAAATTGCCGTACCGTAGAGGAAGAAGCCAGAAGCATAGTCAAAGGAGAGCGGTGTTCAGACAAATCGAAGGAGTCAGTCGAAGCCCCGGTACCTGAAGCGGGTGAGGAAACTGCACCAGCAAGAGGTACAGGAGCATCAGGAGTGTCCGAAGAGTGGTCTAAAAACAAGGCAGGGTCAGAATGGGGTGCGGTATCAAGAAGGGGCCCGGGGGTAGTGGGTTCATGGATTGGGTTCTCCATGGTTAGGTTACTCCTTTGCTTTGTTTTTAAGAAAAACAAAAAAATAAAAAAAAGGGGGGAGCGGGAAGGAATAGTTCCCTGGAGGAATGAAAGGGCCAGAAATCTCCCTCCGCTCCCCAAGAGGACCTCAGCACCGCTAGTAGTGCAGATGCAGCATGGAACCCATGCCATACCCTACCCTTCATGCCAATAAACCAGCAATCCGGGATAGCAACCTCACATCTGCCGAGCTACCTCGGTGGACAAAAGAGAGGGCTGCCAGATATCTGCCACGAAGCATACCTCCTTCAGCCACCACCCCCGGAATCCGAAAGGTGGCTTCCAGAGATACACCCGTCGCCCGAAAGACACCCAAAGCTACTCCGGGATACTGGAGAAGGATCGGGACATCCCCAGGCAATCCAGATTCCACGGCAAACTACGCCACCACCAAGAACCTCAATGGAATGGGATGGACCCAGGTATCCTTTCCCCTACCTAGGAACTAGCGTGCATGTGGGAGAAACCCCAAAGGCCAAAAAGAGGAAGGACAAAATGGAGGGGTGGGGAGGAGGAAAGGAAATAGGGAAGGATGGGATAGGGGAGGGGAGATTGGGGGGTAATTAGGTTCGGTCTGAGGAAGAAGACGACAGGTCTAATTTTTAGCCCCAAGACCCTCTCACCACCCCAAAGGAGCCCCCCCCTTGAAGAGGTCTCAATACGAAAGATGGAAGAAACAGCAAACTCCACATGGGGGTTTAAATGTAGATGCACTTGTGGCGAGGTGCCACATAACCTCAAATGATAAAAATTATACTATTTGGGAAATGATTTAATTGCCTGCCACAACCAGTGGTGAAAAAACGGGCCACTAGTTAAGACTGACTTCCATAATTCAAACCAAAAAGGGCAAACTCCCATAAAAAAGGCATCTTCATATTTATGTAAAGACTAAATGAATGTAAGGTTCATAATCAAATTATTTTTCCCAACACATCGGCCCTCTCCCACTGAGGCAGACTGGGGGGGGGGGAATTACACTCATCAACCCATTCCCAAATACATAATCACGTCTTTGCCAAGAAATCCCCAGATTTGGACAGATGTCACTCCAAACAGCAATATCCCAAACTCGCCTTTAAAATGCGGCATTTACTTCCCACTCCCAGGACCGAGCCCTGGGATCCCTTTTCCAACATCCAAAATTAAGGCTTTTTCCTTTATTTTTAGTAAGCTGGACAGGAAAAGGTGCTAGAAGCCCACGGGCTCCGGCATTTTAGTCGTTCTTACAACGCGGTTTAAATGGAGGAAATATTATTATTCCACTTCCCCATGGATTGTACTTTCAACTAAATGGCCGTTCCACAGTGCAGGGTGGCAAACCCCCGAAAGTTTCTTTTTTGTATGTATACAGGAGAAGTTACTAGGCCCTTGCTCCCGGCATTTTGTCCCCTCTTACGACTGCATGCTTATGGAGGAAGAATTCTATTCCACTTCTCCATTCCCCATGGACATAAGAGGAAATATAATAAGAACAAGTGTAAGCAAAAGTAGAAAGATATACCCATTATCTTGTGGGTCTGAGACAGAAAAAAGACAACAGCACTCCCACCATGTAAAACAAATACAGTGGTACCCTGAGTTTTGTACAGCTCCCAATTTGAAAAATTATTTAAGTGTATTATTATAAGTGCTTTTGTAAGTATTTTTGGGGGTCTGAAATAGAGTAATCTAATTTACATTATCTCTTATGGGAACAAATTCGTTCGGTAACACCACTCGAACAGACTAGACTTCGGTAACGAATTATGGCCAAAACTCACGGTACCACTGTGCAGGTTTGTCTTGCACATTTGTCAGGACAGTAGTACCCCTCTCGGTGGTTAAATGTTCCCAAACCCTAGTACTACTATTAAAAAAGGGGGGCACTAAACCAGTGGACAAAATTAGTCCAAGGAACATAAGAGATCAATTAACAGTTTCAACAAGTTCCTCAAACTCCACTTGAAAGACAAGTTACATTAGAAGCATTGATGTTCATTAATGCTGTAGTGTATAGCTGTGCACTCTTGCTCTAACAATTACACATAGTAAGTGTAGAATTATTCCACTTCTACTTACTTTTAAATTAGTGACAAAGGTCTCGGTTTTTGTTTTGTCTACCAATTTAATTTCGTAATTCTTTTTACCGACTTTCTGGGAAGCAGGAGGAATCTCGGATAACTTCATTGTAAATTTCAAGGAGCTAACCTCAACCTTGTAAGACCAACTGTAAAAAAAAGCAACAATAAGATAAGGTACAGAGCACAGTTCAAGACAAAATTTTTGGAAGAGGTGGCGATTGCAATAGTGAAGCCTTTATTAGTGTATCACTCTGAAACTCCCAGACCGTTCAGGCAAAAAGAATGTCCTCAAGGAGAATTTGTGTGCTGTGGAGGGCAAACAGCAAGGCATGGGTCATAGGGATTTCTATGACTGGTTACACCATGATTTGCCCCCAAATGTGAAAGATTAACCTAACTGAAAAGAAATTAGAATTTTAGTGCCTCCTGGTGTTAGACAATGTCCCTGGTCATCCTACAGATGTGGCAGAGCGACTTTATGCCTCCTAATACCACTCATCTCCTGCAGCCCATGGACCAGCAGGTTATTGCAAACTTCAAAAAACTGTACACAAAAGCTCTGTTTGAAAGGTGCTTTGTAGTGACCTCAGAAACTCAACTGACTAAGAGAGTTTTGGAGAGCATTTTAAATATCCTCAATTGTGTAAACCTTATAGGTAAGGCTTGGGAGGGAGTGACTAAGAAGACCTTGAACTCTGCTTGGAAGAAACTGTGGCCAGAATGTGTAGACAAAAGGGATTTTGAAGGGGTTTGAGGTTTAACCCCTGAGAGGTTATGCCAGTTGAGGAATCCATTGTGGCATTGGGAAAGTCCTTGGGGTTGGAGGTTAGTGGGGAGGATGTGGAAGAGTTGGTGGAGGAGGACAATAAAGAAACTAACCACTGATGAGCTGATCGATCAACTTCAACAGCAAGAGGCCAGCCCTGGGGAAAAACTGGTTCAGAGGAGGGGGAGAATTGAAGTTGCCTACTACAAAGATTAATTTAATCTGTGGAAAGTGGCTTGAAGTGCAAACCTTCATGGATGAAAATCACCCTCACCAGCTATTGCAAGCCGTGTTGGCAACCTGTACACTGACAATGTTGTGAAACACTTTAGGGAAGTCATAAAGGAACGAGGGGTTTACAGGCCACTATGGACGATATGTTGTGCGAAAGAAGCCCAGTGAACTGAAGTGGTCCTAGTGGCATTAAAAGAAGGGAGTAAGCCAGAAAAGGATAGCACCTCAAGTCTTAAGGGAAAGGGGATTCCCCTTCTAAACACTAACTTCCCCTCCTCCCACCCCATCAATCATCACCAGATCTTCAATAAAAGAAAGTTTTCATGTAATTGTGCATGCCTTTTTCATTTTGTGTGTATTAAAACTAACATTCATGTGGTTTTTTTTTTTTTCATACTTTGGGTGTCTTGCACGGATTAATTTATTTCCATTATTTCTCATGGGGAAAATTCATTCGCATACGACCATTTCGCATAACAAGAGCCCTCTTGCACGGAATTAAAGTCGCTATGCGGGGGTCCACTGTACTAAACCCCGCTATAGTCCACTACAAACTACCAACCAGTGAGAAATGAAACCAACACTACACCATCACTAAACTATCATAACTTATGATAGGTAAGGCAATCTGCAACTCATCCAACTACACTCCCAGCAATGAGAGTGAGGGAACAGTCAGGACTACCCAGTAACTATCACACAAATTTTATTTTCCCATTACCACCACCACTAAACTATCAACCACTACACAGCTAGTAATGAGACTATGGATGGAACCACTACACAACCAAACAACGAAACAGTGGAGAACAACACAACCAACCAACCACCATCGCCATATTCACCAAAAAATGAAAAAATGGGAAAACTACACAACGAAACAATGTAACAGTGGGAACACTACAAATCAGCAATGGAGATGGTGGATGATACCACCACACAACCAAGTACTTTACAACCACGAAAACCAATATCATGCCACCAAACTGAAGTCAAACTCCACACATTACTAAAAAAAAATTATTCCATGTTGGACTATTTTCTATCTGGTATCTGGAAACGGTCATGACTACATCAAATCTTACCTAGTTATATTTATTTTTCCACTATCACTATTATTGTGGTCTGCAAAAGGAAGCATAAAAAACCCAGTTTATATTTTATGGCAAAATTAGAAATATGTAAATGGAAAAAAAAATGATTTATGTTTGTGTTCATAATAGCTGCATCTCTTTATTCAGTTGGGAATGTCCATGAATGAAACGGAAAATTATGAACTGAAACAGAAAGTTGATTAATGATGCAGAACAGGTGGATGGCCTCATCAAAGTCAAGAACAGTCAAAATTTCATAGGATTCTGTTCCACTTTGAGAGAGAAATATAAACTGAGCAAGATAGAAACCCGAAGGAAAACACAGTCAAGATGCAGTAATAAAAGTACATGAAGTTTTGTGCAAATATGGAAGACTTACTCCACTGGAAGTGGGGCAGTGGTTAAGGGGGACGATGAGATCCTCCTCACCTGTCCACTATTCTGCTTCGATACCATAAACATTCCTGCCAGCTGGTCTCACTTTACAGACAGGAACTTCCCTAAACCACGAAAGTTGTATCAGCTGATCCTTAAACATTGTCAAAAACTGATGGACACCTTATCATGGATTGCCCACCTCAGTGACTCGGGTCTCTATACTGTCATGGTTTATAACCCGGAAGTGTCGAGTGTTGGTTGCTGTAGGTGGAGAAGGCTAAGACTTTAAAAACTCGACTATGGGGCAGTGTAAATGACCAGCAAATGCCCAAAAAGATTATGGTGATTTAGGCATGAAGGTCTTTATCAAATGGAACCCACCCGCAGCAACCTGCTCCCGGTGCCACTGGATGGGTTTTAGAAAACAGCTGAGGAGCTGTTATGTCAGGCTAAAAAGGGACAGCACAAACTACAACTTTGCACAAATAGGACACTACCTACTATACAAGTTCAATAATCAGGAGTCCCTTGCCCCCTCATACTCGAGTGGGATTCGCAATAAAAATTTTCCTATGCTGAAAACATTGCCAATGTCGTTCAAAGGCACCTTCGCCACTCGAAATGCAGCAACATTAATTATTAGTTTATTAAGACTCCAGGTAAAGGTTTAAGGTAATTACATTTGGCCAACAAAAACCCACCAGTGTGAAAACAGAAGGTAAAAAATATGGAGATGGTGTGGCAAGTAGGCAAAAGTATTACATTTAACATGTCCATATCCCTATATTGAAATAAAGGGGTGTCAAGTGGGTACGGGGAGCTATCTCTGTAAGGGACATACAGGATGAAAGAAGGAAAACTAGACATCCTGGAAAATGGAAAAGATGTTTATAGCTAACCTCAGCTTGAAGACTTTGGCATTTATGATTGTTCATATATTTTGGTCGACTGATAGCCCTTCTCAAAATTGTCCCAGATTAGATGCAATACAGTTGGAATACAGTTATAAAGCTATTTAAGTACTGCACTTTTAATTTGGTGATTTTTCTATGATCACATTAATAGCTGTGATGATGAATGGCAACCCAAAAAGACTTAATCCACTTTTTACTGGATCTTTTCTGTATGGATATAGCAGTCTTTCACAGCCAGAAAAACTAAGTAGCTTACTGGTTGTGAATACATACAGGATGCTGCCAAAAATGTTCAAAGGAAGTAAGGATACAGCTTCAAAATGACTGTGTTCAACAGAGGCATTACAGCTGTCATGCGTGAGAGGTATGTGTGGTGTGAATATCAAACAAAGAATTTGGTGTAGAAATTAAAAAGCAATGAAGGGTAACCAACAGCCGAGCCACTTTTCACATCCTGTACCTGGAAGGGAATCTGCAGAGAAACAGCAGCTCCTGATTTCACTGTTCAATTCTGAAAGTTAGGAGTACTAGTATATCAAACACAGTCATCACCTGAATAGCAAATCATGATGCACTCTTCCACAAATGGGAATCCCTTTCCATAAGGGGATATCCTCTTCCATAAAGGGGAATCCTTTCCTTTAAAGACAGCTCTTAAATCTCTACCCAATCACTACCACCCTTTACCACCATCACAACCACTTTCCACCTCTACCACCACCACTTTCGTTTTTTCTTACAAACTTTCTTTTATTCTATTTGTGTTTCTCACCCTTTACCCAAAGGCCTGGACTAGCAGCTTTCTTTGGGCCCATGGTGGCTCATTTAGCAGTTTCAAGCACAAAAACAATAGATTACGAAATGTATTGTATGAACGCATGGGGTGATGGTCACTTGCCCACAAGCAATGCCACATTCAGTCCTGAATGTTCTGTGGGAGCCTTTGTGTATGCCCCACGCTTTCCCAAACCGCACAAACTGTTCTGTACGATGGACAAATCGCGAGGCAAATCACGAACTGCGAGGCTTTATTTGATGAAAAAAGTTGCCAAAGTCGAAATTCACGAAGCGAGAGGCTCACAAAACTCGGGGGTCCACTGTATGTGTTCGTGGATTAGTACACCAAACAGGGACAAAAATGAAATTTAGCCCCTAAGCTCCATGACATCGAAAGGGCCCTTTGGGTGGCGGTTTAAAACAGCTACCCCTGCTGGATGCGCCATCTTTGTAAGATTGGGTGGTCCCGTGGGTTAAGGCATCATGTGGTTCTAGCTCTCCCTGAGGACCAGTAAATAGGTTCAAGTCCTCGGCTAGTGCAGTGTTGTTATTGATCAATTCCACTCGTTCGTGTGTACAATAATACAGTGGGCCCCCGGTTCACGTATTAATCCGTTCCTGAGAGTCATCGTAAACCAAAATTATTGGAAAACGAATCAATTTTCCCCATAAGATATAATGGAGATCAAATTAATCAGTGCAAGACACCCAAAAGTTTGAAAAAAAAAATTTTTTACACATGAATTTAAAAAATTTTTACACACAAACTGTAGACATCCCCGTTACATGACACTTACCTTCATGAAGATTGGTGATTGATGGGATAGGAGGGGGGGTGTGGATTGGTCTTAGTGTTTAGAAGGGGAATACCCTTCCATCAGGATTGAGGTATCAGTCCTTTTC